CAGGCTACATCCTGGAGCGCAAGAAGAAGAAGAGCTTCCGCTGGATGCGGCTGAACTTCGAGCTGCTGCGGGAGCTGAGCCTGCAGGCGCGGCGCATGATCGAGGGCGTGGTCTACGAGATGCGCGTCTACGCGGTCAACGCCGTCGGCCTGTCCAGGCCCAGCCCGGCCTCTCAGCCCTTCACGCCGATCGGTGAGCCCGCCCGGCCTGGCAGGGCCCGCCCCCCCAGCCATGCCAGTCAAGGGGCCCAGCCATGCCAGTCAAGGGGCCCGGTCACCCGGCAGGCCCACCAGACTTCACTCCCACGGCCCGCTTCCGTCCTCCGTTGGGGATCTTCTGCCTCCTACAGACGAGGAAGCAGGCTTGGAGACGCTGAGCGATCCCTCAAGATCATCCAGCCGGGCCGGGCGCAGTGGCTCATGCCTGTAATCCCAGCGCTTGGGGAGGCCGAGGTGGGAGGAGGGCTTGAGTCTGGGAGTTTGAGACCAGCCTGGGCAACATAGCAAGATCTCCTGTCTATGAAATATCAAAAAATTCACAGGGCGTGGTGGCACACACCTGGAGTCTCGGCTACTTGGGAGACTGAGGTAGAAGGATCGCTCGAGTTCAGGAGACTGATGCTGAGATGAGCTGGGATTGTGCCACTGAATGCTCGCCTGGGCAAGAGCGAGGCCCTGACTCAAAAAAAAAAATAAATAAATAAAAGAGGCCAGGTGCAGTGGCTCAAGCCTGTAATCCCAGCGCATTGGGAGGCTGAGGTGAGGGGATTGCCTGAGTCCACGGGGTCCGAGAACAGCCTGGGCAACTTAGTGAGACCTCATCTCTACAACTAAAAAAAAAATTAGCCGGGTGTGGAAGTGTGTGCCTGTGATTCTAGCTACTTGGAAGGCTGAGGTGGAAGGATCACCTGAGCCCAGCAGGTTGAGGCTGTGGTGGCCGTGGGTGTGCACGGCACTCCAGCCTGGGCGACAGAGTGAGACTCCAACTCAAAAACAAAACAAAACTAAAAAAACACCCAGCCCGTGGGAGTGGAGCTGGACTCACATCACTCTGGCCTGGTTCTTTTTTGAGGCTCCCTTTCATGTCTTCACATGGGAATAATGACACCACCTACTTCACAGAGCTGTTGTTAGAATGAACTGAGATAACACAGGCAGGGCAGCTGGCATCCAGCGAGTGTTCATAAATGTTCCCTGTTTCCAGCTCCTTTCAATCCAGGGTTTGTCATACATGGGACAGGGCAAGGCCAGTGGTTACTGGAGGGGTCTGGGGAGGTGTGTCTTTGGAAAGAGTCCTGGACCGAACATTGGAGATGTGGGCTGCAGAGCCAGCTCCGTGGTCCCCAGAAGGCCATTGGAGTCATCTTCCATCCCTGAAGCCTTGGTTTCCTCAACTGTATAATGAGGGCAGAGGGGAAGAACAAAGGCTGAGGGCATGGCAGGGCTCTAGGGACACCTCTCCGCACCAGGGCAAGTGGGTCTGAGGGCAGGGAGCTGTTCCTGGCGGGGAGCCCTGGGCCCTGGGAGGGTCATAGCTTGGCGAGACGACAAGAGGTAGGGCCTGGAAAAGAAGGGTCCAGGTGTCTTTTTACAGGGACTGACTGCTGGTTCGCTCAGTTCTTAGTCACCTAACCATAAAACGCCGGGATCTTTGCATGCTCTAGAAGCTTCTTTTTCCCCAGTTCTGTTTTCAGCACTTCCTGTACCTTACAGGCATCTGGGGTCTCTTGTGGCTGTCCTTTCCCACTCAGGCCCATCTTCTGTCACTGCTGCCGCTGTTTTTTTGGTTTTTTTTGAGTTGGAGTCTCACTCTGTCACCCCGACCGGAGTGCAGTAGCACGCTTCCGGCCACCACAGCCTCAACCTGCTGGGCTCCGGCGATCCTTCCGCCTCAGCCTTCCAAGTAGCTGGAACTACAGGCGCGCGCTACCACGCCCGGCTGATTTTTGATTTATTGTAGAGATGAGGTCTCGCCAAGTTACCCGCGGGCTCAGGCAGTCCCCTCACCTCAGCCTCCCAAAGTGCTGGGATTACAGGCTTGAGCCACTGCACCTGGCCTCTTTTATTTATTTATTTATTTGAGTCAGGTTCTCACTCTTGCCCAGGCGAGCATCCAATGCCACAATCACAGCTCATCTCAGCATCAATCTCCTGAACTCGAGCGATCCTTCCGCCTCAGCCTCCCAAGGCGCGGGATTACAGGCTGAGCCACCAAGCCCCGCTTGTTTGTTTTTAAGCCATTCTAGAGACCTTTTTTTTTTTTGAGTCAGAGTCTCACTCTGTTGCCCAGGCTGCAGTGCAGTGGCACGCTCATGGCCACTGCAGCCTTGACCTGCTGGGCTCAGGTGCTCCTTCCGCCTCAGCCTTCCATGTAGCTGGAACTACGGTGTGTGCTACCATGCCATTTTTATTTCTTGTAGAGATGAGGTCTCACTAAGTTGCCCGGGCAGGTCTCGAACCCCTGAACTCAGGCAATCCTCTTGCCTCGGCCTCCCAAAATGCTGGGATTACAGACTTGAGCCACCGCGCCCGACCAAGAGACATCTTTTAACAGAGCCCAGTGTTCCTTCCGGTGTCTGACAGCCAGCAGAGAGGGCTGTGTGACCCGTGGACAGTTGAGTGACTAGGTGACAGATCTCCAGTGTCCTCCGGCTCACTCAGGTTCCTCTCTGGCCTCTCTTCTGTCCAGGTCCCCCCAGCGAACCCACTCACCTGGCAGTGGAGGATGTCTCTGACACCACCGTCTCCCTCAAGTGGCGGCCCCCGGAGCGCGTGGGAGCGGGAGGCCTGGACGGCTACAGCGTGGAATACTGCCGGGAGGGCTGTGAGTGCCCGGTCCTGCCCCGCCCCAGGCCCAGGCAGTCATCAGAAGGTGGGCAGTGGGGATGGGGCGTCCATGCTGACACAGCCTATGGCCTTGCCTCGCCCTTCCCCCCGTCCCACCCCAGGCTCGGAGTGGGTGGCTGCCCTGCAGGGGCTGACAGAGCGCACGTCGCTGCTGGTAAAGGACCTGCCCACAGGGGCCCGGCTGCTCTTCCGAGTGCGGGCACACAACGTGGCGGGGCCGGGAGCCCCCGTCACCACCGAGGAGCCCGTGACGGTGCAGGAGATACTGCGTGAGTGTCCCTCGTGCACCTGACACGGGCACCTCCACTGTCAGGGAAACCCTGCCAGAGGGAAGAGCTGAATGCCGGGCAGGGACAAGAGGGGTCAGGCCTTCTCCCACACCCTAGGCTCAGGCCAAAGTGCCGAGAGCCCTCCCTCCATTTTTCTATCAGGCCCCTAGTCCTGGAACGGGGATGTAAGGGCCCCAGTCTCCAGGATCTGTTCTGAGCCTCTCGGCCCCAACAGGTAGGTGTTGTCTGTGTCATCAGGACTGAGTATTGAGGCCCTCTGGGTCAAACTGGCCTATCTGGGATCCACTTCTCATTCCTGTTTCTTGTCCCAGTGAAAGATCGATCATATAAGGACTGGAAAGAGGCAGCAAACTGGGGTGAAACATTATAGGGCAGAGGGGCTAAAAACCTAGGTTTGTATCCCGATTTACTAGCTGTGTGACCTCAAACAATTTGCTTACCCTCTCTGATCCCTGCCCCTTGAAGCAGTGTGGTGAGGCTCAGGTAGAAACAGGAGCTTTGTAAACCGTCTGGGCTGGGCGGGCTGGAGCTGCTGCGGGCTGGGGGAGCGCATGGAAGGACGAGGCCCAGCAGGCAGGCGGTATTTTTCTTTGCTGTAGCTCTTGGGCCTTGCCTCGAGAGAGGCTGGAGCTGTGGGGATCCTCAGGGCTGGGGACAGGACAGGCGCCCCGCTTAGCCACCCCTCCCCGAACCCACAGAACGGCCACGGTTCCAGCTGCCCAGGCACCTGCGCCAGACCATCCAGAGGAAGGTCGGGGAGCCCGTGAACCTCCTCATTCCCTTCCAGGTGGGACTGGCCCCCTTGCCCATGTTCACACCTGGCGGGTGGACGCGTCTCAGGCTGGCCAGACTGGGAGAGCTGGGCTTAGGGCTGAGCTGTCCCCTCCTCAGGGCAAGCCCCGGCCTCAGGTGACCTGGACCAAAGAGGGGCAGCCGCTGGCGGGTGAGGAGGTGAGCCTTCGCAACAGCCCCACAGACACCATCCTGTTCATCCGAGCCGCACGCCGCACCCACTCAGGCACCTACCAGGTGACGGTGCGTGTTGAGAACCTGGAGGACAAGGCCACGCTGGTCCTGCAGATCGTCGGTGCGTGGCCCCGGGGCTGCTGGGACCCACCTGGAGCGTCCGATCTCCCGGTCCAGGGTCCCGCACAGGGTGGCAGGGGTGAGGGTCCTCCCCTGTTCTGACTCTGCCGGGAGGCGTGGTGATCCTGCCTGGCCTGTTTCCCGCAGACAAGCCAAGCCCTCCCCAGGATATCCGGGTCACTGAGGCTTGGGGGCTTAACGTGGCTCTGGAGTGGAAGCCGCCCCAAGACGATGGCAACACAGAGATCTGGGGTTACACGGTGCAGAAAGCTGACAAGAAGACCATGGTGAGCCGGGTTCCTGGGGCCCCACGTGTGTCTGCCCCAGGTTTGGTTGGCCTGGGCCCTGTTGCCTTTCCTGTCCTGCCCACAGGCCCCCTCGCTTCCCTCTGATGATCTGGTTCCCTCCACAGCGGGGGTGGAGACCCCAGGGGCACCCAGGAGGCCCCTGGCAGGGAGAGGGCCTGGCCCCAAGCTGCTCCCTCCCTCCTCCCCAGGAGTGGTTCACTGTCTTGGAGCATTACCGCCGCACCCACTGCGTGGTGCCAGAGCTTATCATCGGCAATGGCTATTACTTCCGTGTCTTCTGCCATAACATGGTTGGTCCCAGTGACAGAGCCGCCACCACCAAGGAGCCTGTCTTTATCCCCAGACCAGGTGCCGTACCCTAGCTCTCACGCCAGGGGGCTGGGGCAGGGAGGCGGTGGGAACACTGAGGGGAGCCTAGCTTGGTGTGGCCCTCTGGGTACTGAGTCCTGTCACCAACAGGCCTCACGTACGAGCCACCCACCTACAAGGCCCTGGACTTCTCCGAGGCCCCAAGCTTCACCCAGCCCCTGGTGAACCGCTCCGTCATCGCGGGCTACAATACTGTTCTCTGCTGCTCTGTCCGGGGTAGCCCCAAGGTAGGGAGCTTCAGGCCCTGGGCCAGGCCAGGCCCTCCAGGAGGCAGGCTCACAGGCTCTGAGCACCAGCAGTCCTCGCCCGGCCTGGGTATTGAACCAGGCTCCTCTCCGTGAACGGGGCCTTGGCACCCACTGCTGGCTTCATGTCGAGTCTCAGCCTTGGGCATAGTCAGGGACCCCAGTGGGAACCCCCCGAAGTAGAAACACAAATGCCAGCCTCCCCGGGGTCCTGCCAGCTCCCCTCTCAACCCGGGATGGTCTCCTGCTCTTTTCCTCATCTACAGCCCAAGATTTCCTGGTTCAAGAATGGCTTGGACCTGGGAGAAGACGCCCGCTTCCGCACGTTCAGCAAGCAGGGCGTCTTAACCCTGGAGATCAGGAAGCCCTGCCCCTTTGACGGGGGTGTCTATGTCTGTAGAGCCACCAACGTACAGGGCGAGGCGCGGTGTGAGTGCCGCCTAGAGGTGCGAGGTGAGTGCCACTGGACCAGGCCCGGGAGGTGGAAAGGGGGGCTGGGCTTGGCTCTGCTGTCCTGGCCAAGCCTGTCGTCCAGATGGGTACCGGCTTCTAGAAGGCTGGGAGGACACAAACGGCATGGCCTCCTTCTCTCCTGCAGTGCCTCAGTGACCAGGCAGGCTCCCCAGGGCTGGCCAGGTACGTATTCCAGGCCACCCGACATCCAAGGCCCAAGTCAGAAGACGCTGAGCCCTGGCCCTTGGTCATCAGGAAACGGGAGGGTGCAGGTGGCAGGGTTCACTCACAACAGAACCTGTGTCACAGGCACAACCGGACGCCAGCCCTATGTGCCAGGAGCCTAGAGGGAAGCTGGAGACCCTTCCTGCTGCTGGGTGTGTGTGTGCAAGTGTGTCTCCTGGGTGGGGGTGGGGGAACCAGCAGGGCGGCAGTTCTGAGGGGCAGGCCTGCGTGGGCCTTGCAGATTGGTCCTCGGCTCCTGGAGGAAACTCCTGGATCTTTGGGGCAAAAGGAGAGTGGGCTCAGGAAATGGTGTCTGGGGACAGGCCCCTCTGGCCTGCCAGGTCTTCCCAGCGCCCAGGGGCAATAAAAGATCAGTCACTGTCACAGACTCATTGGCTTCTTACCCAACTCGTGTGCTCATTTTCATAAAAAAGCACAGGGACAGTTACTTGATTTTCACGGCAAACTGAGGGCAGGCCTTGCTTCCCGGATGAGTGAGCGAGGCCCGAGTGGATCCTGAGCTCATGAAGCGTGAACGCTAGAAGGACCTCGGGTCTCGCCCATCGCACTGGCTCTTCAAAGGGGGAAGCCGGGAGCTGGGACAGCGGAAGGGGGATTAGCAGAAGAGGTGGAGGCCCAAGGCGCCCCTGCCTGGCCTCAGGTGCTCGGCACGGGCCCTGTCCCAGGAACCCTGGCCACAGCAGCCCAGGGGGACATACGGAACCTCGGTGTTGACTGTGTATCCTCAAGAGCTGCCCTGCGTTGTCCTGGGTCCCAATGAGCCACAAGCCCACAGCCCATCCACGCCTGCATCTCACGTGGGGGAGCAACCCAGTCCGGCTCGGGGCAGCAGGAACCTGAAAGGGGTGAGGGCCCACAGGATTCCCCACAGGAGCCTAAAACCGTCATTAGCTTCCTGTGGGGAGGAAGCCGGCAGGTCTCAGAGGCTCCCTGACGGTGTCACGGGTAGAGCGCCGGGCTTTCCGTGGCAGAGAAATTCCGCGCAGGCTGGTCCTAGGGTGCTTCTTAGAGTTCTACCCAACAGAAGATACTCCTGACAAGGGAGCCCAGAGCCCTGGGCTTCAGGCCCTGTGGGAAGTCCTGGCCGAGGCCCAATACCTCTAGACCACACATACCTGTAGAGGGAACAGAGGGGGCCAGGGTGTGGATTTCTCTCACTGTGAAATCAATGTTCCGGTGACAATGCCCAGTCTGTCTGCTCCCCCTAGTGGCCAGTTCCTAGCAACCCAGCGTGGTGCAGGGCTTCCAGGTGCTCCAGGGAAGGAACACTCCTTCCCACAGTCTCTCCGGCAGCCCAGGAAGCAGGCAGGGGCCGAGCCCCAGCGTGCCAGGGCCCGAGCCCCAGCGTGCCAGGGCCCGAGCCCCAGCGTGCCAGGGCTTGGATGTGGATGCCCTCATCTCCTCCTCCCTTCAGGCCCGAGGTGCCTTTTCAGAGCCCAGGCACAGCCCTCCTCAGGCCTGGGCTGCGAGGAGGTGTCATTCAGCACAAGGCAGGGAAGGGGAGTCAAGGACATTTATTTCACATTCACACAGCTGTACATTTTCTATAAATAACACGGAGCTGAACTATTTACAGTATCTCTTGCTCAGGGCCAGAAGGTTCGGCCTGCAGACACAGACATATAGGCTAAGCCAGTCTTGTCGCACCCCTCCCTGATCCTTGGGCAGAGCAGCCAGCGGTCCTTGGAACTCTACCCACCCCGACCACTCTGTCCTCTCATGCCAGAGGCTCGTAGGCCGGGGAGAAATCACTGCCCCACTGCGGTGACGGAGGCCAAGGCAGGTGGCAGCAAAGCTCGTGGCCCTGGGCAGTAGCTGCCAGCTTGGGAATGCATAAGGAGGCGAGGAGGCTGCCATTCCCTCCAGCTGCCCCGACTCTCCTTCCTCCTTGCCCGCCCCTTGTCTGGAAGGGCAGGCCCCAAGTTCCCCTCGCTCCCCATGGAGTGGACTTGCTGCAGGTGCCCAGGCGTGCCAGGTCTCAGAGGATGGAGCGCGGGCTCTTGCACGAAAGGGTTACGCTGCCAAGGACAAGGACTAGGAACCACGACACAAATGTCTCAAGGGCACACAAAAGTGGGCTCGCACTGGCCCAACAGACATATGCACACTCTTGAGCCCTGAGGGGAAGGTGGTCTGGTCTTCTGGGAGTGGAGAGGGAGAGGTGGAAGGGACTAGCTTAGCCCTGTGACAGACACGCTCAAGGACACACTCAGAGAGCCACATAACTGGCAACCGACTAAGCCATGGCAAGGGGCTTGTGGAGAATACACACATCGCCCGCTCCTCAGTCATAGCAGCATCGTGCACTTGGGAACAGCAAGAGGCCAAGGGTGTCCCCTGGGCTGGGGCAGCTGCTTGGCCCCTCTCCATCAGCTAGAGACAGGCCGGGGCGGGGTTCTGAGATCTTCCTCACTGCTACGAACTGCAGCCACATACGAGAAGAGACACAACACAGAGTAGCAGATCTCGTGGGCCTACAGGGGAGAGAAAACCAGAGAGATCAGCAATGCCGAGAGTCCTGTACCTTCCCATGTGGAGGGTCTGCCGAGTGGGCAGCTCCTGCCCTGACACTGGGCATGGGCCTCGGGGCTAAGTGTGAGCTCCAGGCCGGGCCTCAGAAGTCATCCCCATGGGAGAGGATGTCTGTGTCCCAGGGCTGAAGACATCCTGAAGACCTGCTCCAGCTTCGCTTCAGTTGAGACTTGGCATCAAGACCAGTCCCCACTCACCCCTGTGCTCTGAGGGCCCCCCTCCTCCTGTCTGAAGGTCCCCAGGGAGCCCTGCACAGACGTGGCCTGTCAGGGCTGGTGGCACACTCACCATTGGTGTCTTGTACTTGTGGCTCACCACTTCTTTAATTTCAGGAACTAAAACCGGACGGGCAAGAGACAAAACAGAAAGTTCAACACTAAGAACAACAGTGCCATTTTCCCCCAGGCGGCAGCGCCCGGCACCAGGGCCCCCTTCCCGTCTGAGGCCTCTCACAGTGGCGGTAGCCGCTTGAGCTACGGGAGGGCAGAGGCCACCAGAGGCTACATCCGGACCCTGATGGTGAGAGGACATTGCCCCAGACTCCTCAGCTAGACCTCTCACGCCTGCAGCATTCTGTACTTGATGGCTGTGACGCCACCCACTTCACTGAAAGCCCAGGGTGGAAGGGCTGGCCTTTCCCCAGCTGGGTCACAGCTGCTGTCCAGGGCCCCTGAGGAGCTGCGAGGGAGGTGCCCAGATTTTGTCTGGGAGGAGAGTTGTGTCTAGCCTGTGCCCGGCCTTGCTGAGACACCCAAGAATTCGTCCTGGCGCCAGCCCGAAAGTCTGGTCGCGTCGAACAGTTCCCTTTACTCCCAGCCCCTACAGAGGGTCCTGAGGCTGGATGGAGAAGTCATAGGATACTAGACCCATCAGACTTGGACGTGTCCTTCCCTGAGTGGCAGGAGCAGCCCAGGCCTGCCTGTGTGAGGGAGAGCGTCAAAGAGCTCTGGAGCAGACACACCGAGCAGAAGAGACAGGCGAGGGCAGTGCCCAGGAAGGGAGGTGACAGGAGCATCAAGCAAAATACACACATGTCCACAGCCCAGAATGCACGGTTGAGAGTCACCCCGCCCCAGCCATGCAGGGGCTCTGCGTGGCCAGGGGAAGGTGGAGGGCCCCCAGGCTCGGCCACCGTCATGGCCCCTTGAGACTGGGAACAGAGGGTACGGCATCCCCCTGGGGGCCAGAAAAGGCAGGATGAGAACTGGCCGTACCTTCTTCTGACCCTGGGAGATAGAATTCGGGGGAACCCAGGGTTAGCAGGGAGTAAACTCATCAAAGGTAGAGCAAGAAGCCCCAGGTCGCTCTCCTGGGCTGGATGAGCCCCCCAAATATCTCTCTGGCAGGAGAGAGAAGGGAGCACACAGGGGAGAGAACTTGGAACCACAGAGCCAGTGGGGGTGGGG